CTCTCTTTTTCGAATGGCTCAGCGGTTTGAAAGGAAAGGAACTGGAAGGTGTCAACTATGCTGTGTTTGGAGCCGGTCATCGTACGTATATACTTTGAAAATGACTAGCTGGTTTATCAAACTAACTTGGTACTATCTCAGACGATTGGGCGGCCACTTTCCACCGTATCCCTACTGCGGTAAACGACCTTGTACAGAAACACGGCGGTAAGCGTCTTTGTGAAATGGGTGTTACGGACACGGCTGAAGCAGATATCTTCACTGCGTTCGACACATGGGGCGAGTCCCAGCTCTGGCCGGCGATAGAATCTCAATTCGGAGCCCCCGAAAAAGGAAAAGAACTCAAATCTAAATCTGCATTAAATGTAGAAATAAGCTCCGGAATGCGAGCAACTACCCTGGGCTTGCAGCTCGGCGAAGCCCTGGTTGTTGAGAACCAACTCTTGACAGCCCCCGACGTGCCGGCCAAGCGCTTGGTCAAGTTCCAACTACCATCTGATAGCAGCTACCAGTGTGGCGATTATCTCGCTGTGCTTCCTGTGAATCCCAGCAGTGTTGTTCGCAAGGCAATCCGACGATTTGGCTTGCCATGGGATGCTATGCTCACCATCCAGAAAACTTCCACCGCAACGACGGGCCCCTCGGTTCCATTTGACACGCCGATATCTGCATTCGAACTATTGTCTACATACGTGGAACTCTCCCAGCCGGCCTCGAAAAGAGACATCAACGTGCTTGCAGACGCCGCCGCCGCCGATCCAGACACACAGGCAGAGCTACGATTCCTTGCATCTAGTCCAACTCGCTTCGCAGAGGACATCGTGGCCAAGCGCATCAGTCCGTTGGACTTGCTCATTCGCTATCCCAAAATCGATCTATCAATTGGTGATTATCTGACCATGCTTCCGCCCATGCGCGTTCGCCAGTACTCAATTTCGTCTTCTCCTATCCGAGACCCGTCCGAGTGCTCGATCACGCTTTCTGTTCTCAACGCACCGTCTCTTCTTTCGACAGGCTCGGATGAAGTTTCCGAGGAAGAACGATACCTCGGTGTGGCATCTACTTATTTATCCTCTCTCAAGGCTGGTGATCGTGCACATGTCATGGTTCGTCCTTCAAACAGCGGATTCAAGCCACCCGCTGACTTGCAAACGCCCATGATCATGGCTGCCGCTGGAAGTGGTATTGGCCCATTCCGAGGCTTTATCATGGACCGCGCGGAGAAGATCCGGGCTCGTAGTGGAAGCAGCAGCAGCGGCGGCGAGGGTGATTTCAAACCCGCCCCGGCCATTCTCTATGCTGGGTGTCGTACAAAATGCAAAGACGATCTCCATGCTGACGAGCTCGCGGAATGGGAACGACTTGGTGCTGTTAAGGTTCATTGGGCATACTCACGCCCCGAAGAGGGCGACGCGTCGCACAAGGGGAAGCATGTGCAGGATGCTATGCTCGACGATGCGACAAATCTGATTTCTTTATTCAACGCGGGCGCCAGGATATACGTCTGTGGTAGCACCAGTGTCGGGAACGGCGTTCGTGACACCGTCAGAAAACTGTACTTGAACGAGAGGAGGAAAAAATTGGCAGATGGGACGCTAGAAAAAGACTCGCCGGCTTTATGGCCCGAACTGGATGAAGATGCAGCGGTGGATAAGTTCGTGGAGCTGTTGAGGACGAAAGAGAGATTTGTTACTGATGTTTTTACTTGATTTGATTGCATGATTTATGATGTTCACGTCTTACAGGGATAAGCAAGAATTAATCCTCCCAACTGCAACTAGCTAGAGCTGCCTAAAGCCCATGTAGGGCCGCTTCCCATATCGAACTTGTAAATCTTGAAAATCATGGATACAGTATCTGCTACTGGAGGAGTAAATCTCTAATTCACAAGGAACTTCGAAAAGTGCAGGGTAACTCTGGCTCAATTTCACCAGATGAACTCAAATCCAATTTCACACAGCTTGTTGGGTGGAGAAATCCCCCTTTTCATCAATCGTTGCTGGAGCCTTCTATAACCCATCTTCGTTGCTAATAAGAGTATTCGGGAACCTTCAGATTTCAGCTGTTCGTCAGTGTACCGATTGATTAGTAGATTCGCAATCTTTTCCCGGGTGTTTCGAGTTGTCCATTCCTTCATCTCGTCAAAGGGGCACAATAGCCATTCTAGCGCAGGCTTCTCTTCTGGTCCAGACTTTTCTAAGGGATCTGCGCCTGCTGCAAGTAGGGATTGTATAACACCTAATAACCTGCTGTTTGCTGCGTACCCTAGAAGTGTCCAGCCATCTTTTTTGATGCGTATTAGCGCCTCCTGAAATGAGGATCTGAACTATGTTACTGTATTTTCTCGATATCGCTTCCCAAATTGGTGCCCCTAAGCCACATCCAGCAAGCCTCTTATTAAAGATTGGATCAATGCCTTTCTCAAGTAGTATTCGAACTAAAATCGAATTTCCAGATGTTATGGCAAGCCCTAGAATTCTCTCGAGATAGGCGTGGCCCCATTTGTTAAGATCTAGCCCATGGCTAATCAAGATCCGCGTACAGCTGCAGCTTTTCCCTTTTGCTACGGCTTCCAGTGCCGATCCATGCCTCGACAAATGGACATTTGGGTTCGCGCCGTACTTTAATAGGAGGCTAAGCAGCCCCGCGCCTCTGTTTCCATCTTTTGGTAGCAAAGAAACCAGTGATCTATCAAAAAGATTGACGGAAGATGCTACGCTTGACTGACGATGAGTTCTGAACCATCGTAAATGGCCGATGATTGCGTCGAATGTTTTGTCATCGCAGGACCTTACGGGGAAAATCTTCCGTAGGGTCGCTATAACGTCCTTGTCGCGCAGTATTTCCATGCGTTGCGGAATGATTTGCTGTAAAAATTTGAAATTCCTCCGGGGGATATCGTAACAAAGCAATTTTTTTGCAATTCTGCAATTTTGCTCGCAAAAGTCAGCACCATAATCAATCAGAATGCCAAGGATCCCATAGCAATCAGTCTCTATTGCATGGTCAACGAGTGTTGTCCCATCAGCACTAGCAACATTAGGGCTAGCTCCTTGATCTAGGAGATACTTGATCATATCGAGCCTATTTCCTCCACGAATAGCATGCCAGAGAGGTGGGTGTCCATTGGCATCCAATGCTTCAAGGTCAGCGCCGCCTCGTTTTAAAAGCTTGACTGCTGAGACACAGTCTTCTTGCACTGCCGCCGAGAACGTTGTCGGGCTTCGTGCTGAATCAGGACACATGTGAAGGAAGAGTTTTGTCAAAGGATCTCCCCAGTCTGGATCGAAGGCACTTTTGTAAAGTATGAAAAATTTCTTGTAGTGAGAGTCATTCGGTTGCGCACCATTTTCTAGTAGTAGCCTGGCGAGACTAACGTGGCAAACCCTAAGTGTCCAGTCCCATAAATCATTTGATAGTTGAGGTCTTTGGCTCAAGACGATGCTGTGTACGATCATGGACAACAGAAGCCGGACGTGATCGAAAATTTTATTAACGTATAAAACAGCACGGAGCTTCCACAAAATTGTAGGTAACCCTTCTAGAAATTCGTCTAAAAAGTCACTTTTCGATATGACTTCGACTAATATCGTAAGAGCTGTAGTTGATTTAGGACACACCGCGCCGTATACTGCATCTGACAAAGACAAGCGGCGTCCTCTAGCCTCTCGGATGATCTTGCGAATGACGATTTCATTGTCTTTTCTGGAAGCAGTAACAAACCCTCTGTCACATGCACTAAAATCTCGGTGATAGAGATACCTGTTCAATATACTGAAGAGTCGGTAGTTTGCCTGGCTAAGGCATTCAGATCCCTGAGAGAAAAGCAGGTTTCTCCGATAAGAAGGATGACTTCTACTGGTAGAACCAGAATGGACATTTTCGATAGCAATGTCTTTTTTTATTCCCCGGTCAATAGCGAGGAAACAATATTAAAACCGTTGGATTTTGCACTTAGACAATTTCCTGGCAGACGCCGCTATTTTATTTCTGGCATTGTCGTCATAAAGACGCTTTGATTGACAAGACGACGTAAGGTTATACGTGTAAATGTGCAAAACTCCTACTACATAGTACCTTGGAACCTTTGGTTGGCTTATGTGTTCCCATAGCTAGCAGTTGATTAGCCCGGTAGTTATCCGACAAGATAAGCAATGATTAAGGCCAGGAACGTTGCTCAACTTCTTCCCGACCCCCATCCTTCTTCCTTCACCCAGCTTGACTGCAGTCGATTGTCTATATTTGAAATAAAATACAATTCTAATGATCAATACGTTGAGAGTGCACATGATGGTCATGCTGCCACTGATATTCAAGACCTTGATGACGCTACGCCGTATGGAGGCCTCCTGCCGCAGGATACGTTTTTTGACGGCTTTCACATGAGCTTTATGGGTTACTTTAATGCCAGCTGCGGAAATTATTAGTTAGGAGAGAAAATAATGGAATGTGCGCATATATCAAGCTGTATTTAAATGGAATCAATTGGGAAAACATTTAAAACAACCACCATCTATACCGTTTATAAAACTTAGCAGATTTTTTCTTCTGTTTTTTACGACCCTGCCATCCTGCCATCCAGAGTCCCGTAATTCCTTCTTACTTCTTCAAATGATAAGTGTTGGATAATAAGGACAGGCCAAACATTGAACTGCCGAAGAATTTTCAGTTAGCAGTTAACATATTGAGAATAAGCAATCTATGGGCCAATTCATTCATCAATCGATAAAACGGCGTCATGTATGTTCTTACTGCTACATATATCAGTTAATGTATTACAACGCTTATGACATTAAACTTTTGGTACATGCATGTAGAGAATACCCTAGTGATCAAATAGCGAACAAGGAAAGAAACGAGGAGAAAACGAACTCAAATGACTTGGTAAAATATAGTGGACAAATTTCAACAAACTACACCACAGGTAACCCAGCATTTAGAAACATTTCCTATACAGAAATATCAACTGTGTAAATAATAATTTTGAACTTCCAAGTTGCGGGCGCTTGGTCTAGTGGTATGACGCCTCATTTGCATGACTCCTAAATGGCGATATACAGTAGCTTCCTGTATAAGCAATATTTGAGGAGGTCCCGGGTTCAATTCCCGGAGTGTCCAGAAGTATTTTTGCCTCAACGGCAAACTTCTTTATCTTCTTCTCTCTTTTTCCATTCATTCCTTTTGTCGATTTTTACCCCCAACCAGGTCAAATGTGAGTATACAGTCCGATAGGGGGAAAAAATGCAGGCGTATACATGCGCAGGTTCCGCCACACTATCGCTCCGTATTGACTTTATCATCCAATAAGTATGGTAATACGTAGTAACAAACAGCGCAAAAAGCTCCGCATATTATTGCTGATGCTCGACGCTCGAATCAATTGATGTTGTTGATTTTGCGCAAAACAACCTGGACTCTGACGTCACGGAATGGCCGAATCCCTCGTGGGGCCGGGATCTCACCTCCAGAAACAAGAAAATATATCAATTGCTCGTCTTGATTGGAGGGTCGTGTGGAAAATCTCATGCCATTACCAAATACTGATGTATATATAAACTGGCAGTTCATGTATTCTCGCTCTTTTTCCAACGCTACACCTGAAAAATAGATTAGCCAGTGCTTTGTCTCGGGGCCGGCCTTTTTTGTTCGGTTTTTTTTAACCTATCTCCTACTAAATCATCGTTTCTTGAGGCAAGAAATTTTGACAAACCACTGTGGTCGCTAGTCAAATCCCAGGTTACCAATAGTTGACCTTTACCACACAAGCAATTGTCCTTTGAGGTTGCCCTTTTTTCAATATTTTCCATGGTACGTCAATTAAATTCTGCTGTCACTACGATTGTCTCTTGCATTTCTCTAATACCAAACAAAACCAACCAGGCTCCAGTCGAAATCCTCGCCCGTCAATCGAGTTCGTCCGGCTCGTGCATAGGTGGCGGCGCCGTCGCTGGCATCGTCATCGGCACAATCGCCGGCACGCTCTTGATCCTCTGGCTGATCAAGACGTGCTTCCTGCCTGGGGCGCCCGGTAACAGACATCCGGATACTTCGGATATTGTGTACAGCCAGACGACGCCCACACGGCGGCGCAGGAGGGACTATCGATCTGGACCGGACTATATTGAGAAGCCGAGGTCGCGGACCCGAAGAGGAAGTGATGTGGTGAGGGTTCAGAGGCCGGAGAGGATCTATGTTTCTCGCGAATGAAATTGGTGTTTCAGTTGATCAATGTTGGTTGGAGCGAGCTTTGGGTTTAAGACCCCTGAGGGTTTGGAATGGGTTGACAATGACGATATGATAATGATTTGACGTATCACTGATGTCTTGTTGATGATCAATATAGTATTTGAATTGGCTACACTATGCATGTATTATAGTGCGGCTTTGATTAAGCAAGTTGTTAGTTTCAATGTTCTCGACATAAGTTGACATCAATCGATACACATGTATCGGGGACATTAGAATATTTTCAATTGTTTACATACTACATATGTGGACATCAATTGGTCGATGGATTTATGTCTATGAAATTTAAATATTTTTTTAAATATTTTTAGTACTAAACCAAGTAAGATATTTATCAAAAAGTTTTTCAGTATCAGGCGACGTACTATGGGCTCTTCTTATGCATGGAATTGACCAATTGACATCAACGAAACCAGTTAATTACATACTATATATATGATCTGGCATCTGGGAACTGAATAAAGGTGAGATTGGTCACATACGCAATTAACCAATCCAAACATTAATACTGTGCTATACGCCGACAATAATACCACGGGGCCAAGGCTCAAGTTGTACCAAGTTCAACGCTATACCGGATATAGAAAATCCTGTTGCATCAACCAATGTGGACTCCGATTGGCGCTATCGAGAACAATCACACAAATTCAATGTTATCGCGCATGGCGGCAAATATTAATAGGATGCAAGTGCATAGACTGGTAAAATTCTAAACGACCGGAAAAGTTTATCCATACATACGTAGAGAGCGTGCAAGGTCTAGACACGGCCAACAAGCCACATCCGCGTAGCACTTGGAACTATCAGACCTCTTGCAATGCTGACTGATCCTTCCAGGCTTCCCCGTTGGATCATTCAGTGACAGTCAAGGTGACGGACGACGTATTTGCAGCTGGGGGTGCAGATCGATGTCACATATTTTCTTTCATGGTGATATTCCTTCAGCCCTTAACAATCACATTATTATTTTTTAAAAGTAATGATGTTTGTTTGTTCCTCCCACTGCATGTCGTGCGTGAAAGACCAAAAAGGGGAGAAAATAGCCGGATGGCGGCGCCGAGAGGCGGGGCCACTGCGTCCAATCAGAGCGCCCACATACGGGCGGTTCTCCCCGCACTCGGCCGACCCACATCCGAATAGTAAATACTAATCCATAATCTAAATCTGTTAGTTCTGAGAATCCGATACGTACCTTGTGCAAATAGGAATAGAGACTAATACGCTAAACAAACCCCCAGCCCTCAGTTAACCCCAACACAGTCTCCGTCAGTGTACGGAGTAATTATAGGGAGTACTTTAGTGTAGACTGAAGAAAGTTCGCACAAAGCCAGTGCGACGTGCGGCGGCCAACGAGCAGCCGTGCCACAGCGGAGCAGCGGGGCCACGGCAGCCAGTCAGCATGCAGCATGGTGGGCCCGGGCAGCAGCCGGCTCGGGCTTGTGTCAGGAACCGGCCAATCATCAGAGCACTGGTAATCAAAGCGGGGCGGCTCGGCCCCTTACGAGGAGCGCCTTTGCCGCGCTAGTCCGGAATGGTCGCAGTGCTCCCTCGTTAACCCACGAACTAGCTGGCCAAGCTGACCCTTTGAGACACGCCGCTGCCATGCAGATGCACCAGTGTTCCCAAGGCTAGGGCCCAAGGCCCAAGGCCCTGCGCAAGGAAGGAACGCCCCGGCTGCTCGTCAACTGCCGTCGCTGCGTCGCTTCTCTCTTTCTTTCTTTCTTTCTCAATTCCAGCGAGGCCAGCACCATCTCTTCGACTCTACGTCGACTGTCGTTCATTTTCTCACCCGAGTAACGTTCATTCGTTGCTATCCCTTCATTTACTACCAAAGTGTCTGCTTCTGCCAGGCACCGGGTGTTCTGTCTCGACACCCTTTACGCTCTTTTGCTCCGGCTCGTGTGATCCATCCATCTGCCTCCCCTGTTTTCTTTCGCCATGCCGCGCTTCTCTTATTTCGCGGCTCTACTGGCCGCTGCCTCGACGGTCCACGCCCAGACATCCACCACCTGCCAGCCCCTAAACAAAACGTGTCCGCCGGATGTCGCCCTGGGCACCACGCACACATGGAATTTCAGTTCCAATTCGATCTTGGATAGCACCTGGAACATAACCAACGGTGCCGTCGACTACACGGATAACGCCATGAAGTTCTCCATCAAAAAGAAAATGGACTCTCCCACCATCCAATCGAACTTTTACATCTTTTTCGGCCGAATGGAATACCATGTACAGGCCGCCCCCGGCCAGGGCGTCATCAGCAGTGTGGTGCTCGAGTCGGACGATCTCGATGAAATCGACTGGGAATGGATTGGCTCCGAGAACACCCAGGTGCAGTCCAACTACTTTGGCAAGGGCGAAACTATAGCTGGCACTGGTCTCACTCACAACCTAACTGGCGCAACCACCACCGATGCTTACCATAACTACACCACCTGGTGGGACAAGGACAAGCTGGAATGGTGGTACGACGGCAATTTACTGCGCACTTTGACCTACGATAACGCCACCAACAGCAGCGGCACCTGGTATCCCCAAACACCAATGACCATCCGTATCGGTATCTGGCCCGGCGGTGATCCTTCCCAGCCCGAAGGCCGGATTATCTGGGCTGGAGGTAAAATTGATTATGATGCTGGTCCATACAGCATGTACATTTCGCAGATCAGCGCCCAGGACTTTACCACCGGCAAGGAGTACAGCTACTCTGACCACAGTGGAAACTGGCAGAGCATCAACGTCACGGCGTAAGTCACACGTTTGTATGCGGGAATGAACCGAGAATCCGACTAACACGTCCTAGTGGCAATTCGACCATCTCCGACAAGCTCAACACTAAGCACGAAACCCTGGCCCAGAAATGGGCTAATCTAGCACCCGGCGCCAAGATCGCCATCTACGCCTGCGTCGGCGGTGTTCTTGGGATCGGTCTGATTGTTCTCTTATTCTGCTGCGTCAAGCAGCGACGTATCGGCAAGCGGGAGTGGAACATCCAAAACAACCGCTTCATGCAAGAACGGACCGATATGATGAACATGCAGGCAGAATGGAGGCAAAAGGGATATGTTGAAATGAAGTAGTCAACTTTCGACAACAAACTTTGCTTTTGCTTTTTTCCAGCGCGCGCTTGGAAATGGTCACGATTGTTTTTCGTATATGGGAAGGGAGTATTGGTGTTTTTTTTTATTACTTCATGTCAATATTTTTTTGCTTCTCTTTCGGCTTCTGCCATATTTGTCTGTCACTTGCTAGCGATACCACTCACCGCAGTCTTTCTCTGTGTATCTCTACCGATATATCTGCGTCGATATTTTGTTTCTCTTCAGCACCGGTGTTACCAAGGGTTTGGTAAAGAGGTATATATGCAGTCTGTTGATAAATATTCCATTCTACTCGTGATTGGTATTCGCCAAATCATATAATTTTATATATTTCGGCTGCGCGTGTTGGCGGTCGGCCCTTTCTTCTTCCGTTTATGTTGATGTCCATGGCGAATCTATTAAAGTTTGGGTTGCACATGGCTAGGGCAAAGCCGAATCTGGAAACTGTCAAATTTTTGGTGAATTTTACTCGGCAACCGCCATCAAAATAGCGAAATTTACAGTAATAATAACCAGTTTCACATCAATTGATATTGTTTATTAAAAAGTTACCTTTCTTTTAGATGTCATAAATTTTTATTTTATATGTATGTTTCGGATATAATAATGTCAAAGGAATATACGGAAATATTTAGCTATTGATCAATATTATATATTTCAAAGAAATGTCTCGTATAGATTAGTCAATTCGCTCGCTTTAGAAAATTGAACATTGAAGTATTTATACGGCCCATCCTGAAACTTCCCCCCCTCCTCTATGTAAAACTTGACCGATAAATAGGCCAGGTAGTTGGTATCGTGCGTTCAATGTAATGGCCTACAATTTCCATCAAAGATTTCTACTCCCTGACACCGGAGAGTCGATCACAAGAAATTGATATTAATAGCCATCAATTGATACTTGCAGTGAGAAGAACAGGAGGTCAGTGGCGATCCGACAGCGCTATCCCACAAATCTCAAATGCAGTCTCTCTCAGGTTCATATCTATCCGATCCATTGACGCACGCCTCGCACGGCCGACCTGCGATGTATCAAGTGGGAGAGAGGAACCGAGCGGATAAAGTGGTAGATAAACATCAATATCAATGATGACATGGCAGTTTTCGAGATACCAGAGAACTGTACCATGTGCGTATTAATGATGAATAGCCGACCTGCCCATACGTGGTCAAGAGCCAGGGTCTAGAACGATAGGGTTAATAACAATCGTTTAGTTTTCGGGTCCTATATACATATGCCGCATTAGTACTCCAACATCAACAGAGCAAGAAAGCGATACATGTAGTTCCCTCAAAACAGGCGCAGAGTAGGCATAGGGGAAAAAGGAGGAAAAAAAAAACAAGGAAGCAGTTATATGCACCTACTCGGACTTGAACCGAGGACCTCATGATAAATCTTTGTATAAGTACTAGTCATGCGCTCTACCAACTGAGCTATAGGTGCCTCATGAACATGGATCTTTAAGTTTTCAAGTTTTGATTTTGAAGTCTATCCTATATACATATAGGAGATATAGATGTAATATACGGACATATATTTGATGTTGCGGCATGGGAGCGGGGGAGCGGGGGAGCGAGGGAAGTAAAGAGGAAGACTATGGTTCAAAATTTAGCGAAACGGCAACTGACTAAGAGGACTAAGATACAGGGGGCAGCAGACTTTATTTATAAGCATACAGAAATTTTGCTGCCAAAATCCGTAATTTCCATCGGGATTTGGAGAATTTGCCACTGAGGCTCTATACCGCTCGCTAGGCGGTAGTCGCGCAGCGGTACTTTGATAGTAAGGGCAGCCTCGTTGGTCCCTTGACACTTGAGTAGCTATATTAATTGATACCAAGGTCAACGAAGCAAGAAAGTGGTGGTCAATAGTAATAATAGGCAGCAGAGCAGGCATAGAGGAAAAAGGACAGAAAAAAAAAAACAAGGAAGCAACGGTAAAAAATGAATGGAATGCACCTACTCGGACTTGAACCGAGGACCTCATGATAAGCCTTATATAAGTACTAGTCATGCGCTCTACCAACTGAGCTATAGGTGCGTTATAAGAACGGGCTTTTTTTTCTAAATTAGAAGCTTTTTTGAATATTATGACGAATAATGCTTTTTTTTAACCCTAAGACTTGTCGCCGCATGGATGTTCTTCTTGTTGGACACAGTTCTTTTTAAGAACTTACAAAACCCGCGTAACGATTTCTTGTTAATTTTTCTCCTACTAAAACCACGAAACCCGATTCCTTTAGTTTAATACCTTACCTTTCTAGATTTTTTTGCTAAGAATAGGGATCTAAGTTTGGAAGGATTGGTAAAGATAATTTCCACTACGTGCACTTAGAGGTAGCCTTCATGTTTCTCGAGCTTTTTGGCCTCCAACAAGAACCAAGTAGCTTACCCAGACAGTCTAGGCCAAACCCCAAAGCTCGAACAGTATCGTGCAACATGACATTTATAATCAAACAGCCAGCCTCGTGCTGTGCATTTTTTGTTGCTTCTGTCCCTGTAGACGCTTATTATCAATGTTTTTGTCAGAAACTAGTCGAAGCTCGGAAGAGAAATGGAATCGACGAATTGGAGGAAAAGAAAAGGATGTGTAAGAAGAAGACAGACGTCAAAGTCATTCCAAAACGCCAAACAAACCTTGGCCCAGTTGACCGGACCTCAATATTGACACACTTTATCTCCAAAGTTGAAGTTAAAATGAGAGCTAGATACTTATTTCTGCTTAAAACACGGGAACTTGGTACAATTCTCGAAGCGGGTTTGAATGCAGCGGTCAGAAATATTTGTGAAAACGGTATGTTTGACTTGGAAAGGTACGATAATGCTGCTTTATTTGGAGCCTTTACTTAAACTATTTGCCCATAACCTAGCTAATAGATTTTTTTAGTCTGATCAGCATTGGACAAGATCCCGAAACGTGCAATGGCAAATGTGCTGGAGTATATCTCCACGTTCTGTGGCTAGAAGCAGATCCTCCTACATTCTGGTTGTACGTTGGCCAATCTGTGGACTTGGCCACAAGAGTACAACATCATAACGACCCTGTGTACGGATGGAGAAATCCATCGCTACATTATCATGTTTGGGACTCGTCTCCAGATATGAAATCAAAATTTGTTACTCTTGCGACGTACGAATCTCCGCGAGATGGGGAAGATCAATTGATATTAAAATGGCAGAAATGTGGATGTCATTGGTCTTTCAAACGTTACGGCCCTTTCATCTGGAGGAGTATCTACCAATATCTGTGGAGCCGTTGTGGGCTGGAAACCACCTCAATGTTGCGCTCCCACTCTGGCAAGGATTTCGTTCGTTGATGATGACCGGCAAAGGGAGATAATTGGTGATGGGCACACTTACCAGCAATACCTTCGATCTTCGGACTCGCGAGTGCGGCAGTGGGCTAAAGATGTCAGGGATGCATTCAATGATCTGCGTAATTCGCCAAACCCAGTTCTTCGGGATTACTATCGTGATATTTTGCTGGGCCGGATAGACAGGGCACAGAAGACCTTGGCTGAAAAGAAGTTACAAAAGGCTAAAGCCCACTTCGAAGGCACAAAAGAGAATGTTTACGTAGCAACAGACAACTCAACAGCCGTTACGAGTGGGGATTACCAGTTTCGGATATCCAAAAGACACGGACATTCTTTGGTTCCTGGCAACCAAATAATTGTACAGTACCATCTCTTACCCACTCAACACCCACACGCATATGCCTCCAAAGCATCACCAACAGATCCAGCAAGTCGCTTAGGGGTTTTAATCCGCGGCCGGGATAATGACGGGTTGCCCTTTGAGTGTTGGCTGCACTCACACGGAGTCCTGACTGTATTCAAGATGAATTCCCTGGTGGATATCCTGGAAGGGATCCCTTTGGAGGAAAGCAAGACATGTAAGAGGCGGTGGTTTCGGAAAGGTACTGGGGGGGAAAGAGAACCGTGTACGGGAAACAACATATACTTGATTAATTGAGGCAAAAGAAAAATGCGGTGAATACCAGTTGACGGACTCGAAAAAAATTATGCCTAGCAACCAGAAAGTCTAATAGGTTACGCAACATAATCGCTTATTTAGATAACTGATACTCTCATTCCATACATCGATTCGGCATGGGAATCAATATTGACATCATACATTCGGGTTAATCTGTCACGAGTTTTCACTATCTGTATTTATTAATATATCAATTGATGTCTATATGTCTATATATGCGGTTGAGATTCCATACTCCTAATTTACAGATGAGCCCCACTACCTGAAAATGCACGAACAAACAATTAAATCAAAGCGGCACTGAAATAACTTTGAAGAGCACCCTTCTACTCTGCAGCAGTAGCCTTCTCCGGGTCCTCAACAGGCGCCTTCTTCTCCTTCTTACGAATATCCTTCCAGCCCATCAACCAAGACACACAAAACATCAGGCCCGCAGCACCAACCACAAAATAAAAGATATAATTAATACTCTTTGCATACGCCATCAGGGTCTCCTGGAGCTGCTTTGGATTGTTTCCCACAACCTGCTTGACGCCAGACGCTCCGGCTGCCACGATAGCGGCCGCATCCACGTCTGGCGCGTACTTGGCCAGGTTTGTGGTCAGACTGTTGGACAAGATAGTCTCGGCAATCGCGAGAAACACAGATCCGCCAAAGGTTTGCGAAAAGGCGATCAGCGCCATCGAGATGGGGACCATGGTTGCGGGAATGGAGTTTTGGATGGCGATAAGCGGGATTTGCATGCCCAGGCCGCGTGCGAAGCCCATTAGCATCTGGTATCCGATCCAGCGGCCAGTAGAGGTGTGTAGGGAGAAGGTTGAGATGAGACCGCCAGCGACGGCCCACATCATTGCGCTGCTGACCATCCAGGGGAGGTAGTAACCAAGTTTACCGACTGGAAGATGTTAGTAGTTGTTTCAACTGGAAAAAAATAGAAGGAGGAGAGCAAAAGCATACCGAGAACACCAGAGATAACAGCAGTGATCAACTGCGTGATGATAGACGGCAACGTATAAACACCACTCAGCATCGCCGTGGCCTGGCGCACCGTCTGAAAGTAAATCGGAATATAGTACGTCGACGCCTGCACGCACCCAAAAAAAAGCAACGACACCAGACACGACGACCACACTTCGCGGACTTTCATCATCGAGAAAGGCATCATCGCATTGTCACCCTCGTAGTACTCCCACACCAGGAACAGGATAAACGTGACTCCCGCACCGCAGAACAATCCGATCACCACTGAGCTGTTCCATGCGTACTGGTTGCCGCCGTAGTCGAGCGCGAGGAAGAATTGGATTGCGGCTGGCGCGAAGATGGCAAACCCAAAGAGATCGAGTTTGGTTCGAATGATTTGCAGAATGGGTATGGTGCGTGGCTGCACGGTCTCGGGCACGTTGACAAAGACGAACAGGAGCGCGGCCACGGCGCCCACGGGGAGGTTAATGTAGAAGCCTGGTTTTGAGTTAGTCTCAATGATTCAAGACAGTAAACAGTGAGGGAAAAGAACGTACACCATCGCCAAGTCACATACGTAGTGAACGCACCACCGAGCAGCGGTCCACAGACAACTCCCATCTGGGAAATACCCATCAACATACCAAAGTATTTGGGCCGTTTGTGCAATGGGATAGACGCCGAAATGATAGTCAATCCGCCGTTCATGAGTCCAGAACTGCCGATACCCGCCACGGCTCGAGCCACAATGAGCATCTTGGATGAAGTAGCAACACCGCAGAGGAGAGAGCCAAACTCGAAGATTCCAAAAAAGGTCAAGAACGTCCACTGAAAAATGATATTAGTTCTGTTTTTTCCAAGAAGTTGCCATATCTCACCTTGGAACGAAAGTTGGAGTAGATTTTCCCGGCTAGCGGTTGAAGAGAAGCACTGGAAGAAATTAGACATTTGTAGGTATAAAGGTTGAAATGCAAATTTACCAGGCTAATTGATACGCACTTCCATACCAACCCACATCCGACAGAGAGTGAAAAGCACTCGTGATATTCGGCGTAGCCTTTTACCGTCAGTTTACCAATTTCAGAGCATGCAGAGGAAAGAAAAAAACAAAATTACTTACAGTGGCAACAATTGACATGTCAACCATAACCAAGAAGAAAACCAGCGTCTGCGCCGCCAGCACGGAATACAACTGCCAGCCGGAAATGTACTCTGGCTCGGACTTGGTGCGTGTAGCGTCAATCGCCGTGGCCTCTTCTTTATCCAGCGCAAGATCTTGCTCATTATTCATCTCAGCTTCTTTACTACTGCTGTCGATAGACGACGGGGCAGAACTGCTGTTATGTGAGTCGGCATTGTGGCTGGCTGTTGTTGCTGTGTTTTTCTCCATTTCTTCAGTCTCCCTGTGCAGTGTTGATATTGCTGAGATGGTAGGCGCAGGTCCAACCATGTCGAGCTTCTCGTGCTCTGACTAGGTCTATTGTTCTG